AAAAATAAAAAATAAAAAATAAAAAATAAAAAAAAATAAAAAATAAAAAATAAAAAAAAATAAAAAATAAAAAATAAAAAATAAATAAAATGATATTAAAAAATACCGGCAATAACATATACATCGCATCTCTTTTCCCACCATTTCTGATCTGTATTTATCGGTATTTTAAGCATTAACGATGCAATGAATATACTTGCGTAGGCGATTATGTGTGCATTGTAAAAAAGTAGTGTTGGTAAACTATAGCTAATTATTATTATGAATATATTTAAATTTTAATATAATTATAAAAAGTAAGTGCAGTCTAAAATTTCAGATAATATAAATTAATATTAAATAAATTTACCTATCATTTATCGTCACCCACGCACAACCCTTCAATTTATTTAAATCATCCTCATCCATCCCAAATTCTTCCAAATTAAATTAATTAAATTAGATTAATTAAATTAGAACTAATGATATAATTAAAAACTTGCTTATATAATATATATATTAAATACCTTTAAAAGATTCTAATTTTTCCACCATTGGAACATAAGGATGGAGTATATTATAATTGAAGCATAAGACTGTGGAGACAAGAACTTCTTTCTTAGTAATAGTATGACCCCATTTCTCAAATTCCTATATTAAATATTTTAAAGTTAAAACCAAAATTCATTTATATATTGAAAATTTTTAATATAATTATAGATTATTAAATATCTTACACCCTCGTCCGTTAAACGCCTATTTTTCGTGGCGCTTTTCGCACACGAAATAGCTATTTCTCGAACTTTTCTTATTGATTCTTCAGTCTTGCATGCGAGCAAGACGCATGCACCACCAACGTCCTGAGAAATAAAATATATTTCTTATACTTAATTATAAAAAAATATATATAAAAAACACTCACGAAATGATGATCAAGATAGAGGGTTCGACGCATATAAAACCGATGTAAATAAGTTATTGCTGTTGCTATTGTTAATTGTGGTCTATCAAATAAGATTAAGACATATATGAACATAATTTATATAAAAATATAAACTATATCAATGTATATAAACTACATCAATCAATTGTATATACAATTTGAGATCCGCCGCTATTTCCATTATGAATCTTAGCCCGCC